CACTCAGGGAGGAAGCCCTGGATGGTGCAGGGGTCAAGGTCCCTGAGAGTTAATGAGTTACTGGGTAGGAAGAGAAGAGACCCAGCCTGGACAGGAATTCCAGGAAAGCGATGCAGTGGGGGGTCCTGGAAGTGGGGAAGCAGACAGGAGCCTGGCTTTCCAGCACAGAGGGGATCCTGTGGCTTTGGGGGGAGTGCCACACCCCTACAGTCAGAGTGGACGGGTTCTGCCACCGGGAAATCAAGTCTGCCTCCTTTGTCACTGTGACACCAGAGCGCAGCACTGATGGAAGAGTCTGCAGCTCCCTCATTTGTGAGACAAGGTCTCTCTATAGACCAGGCTGGCCTGGAACTCAGAGATCAGCCTTCCTCTGCCTGCCTGAATGTGTGCACCACCACGCCGGGCACTTCTCTCCGTTTTTAAGTATGTTTGCTCAAAGAGCGTTTATGTGAATTATTTTATTATTTTTAGGCAGTGTCTGATGTAGACTAGGCTGGCCTTACACTCTCTCTGTAGCCAAGGATGACCTTAAATTCCTGATCTCCCAGGCCCTGAGGTGTCAGGCCTAATCCACCACACCTGACTCATGGAGTTTTGACACAAGGTCTTACTATGTAGCCCAGGCTGGCTTGGAACTCCTGCAATCCTCCTGCCTCAGTTTCTCAAGAAGAATGGCAGGCATGTGCCACCATGCCTGGCACTACTCTCCACTGTGTGTGTGTGTGTGTGTGTGTGTGTGTGTGCAAGTGTGTGTCTCTCTGTGTGTGTCTGTGTGTGTATCTGTGTGTGTCTCTGTGTGTGTGTATCTGTGTGTGTCTCTGTGTGCGTGCATGTGTGTCTGTGTGTGTGTCTGTGTGTGTCTCTCTGTGTGTGTCTCTGTGTGTCTCTGTGTGTGTCTCTCTGTGTGTATGTGTGTGTGTGTGTGTGTGCCCAAACTTGGTGTCCACTGTCTCCACTCGTCACTCTGGTCTTCTGTGTATTTACCAAGGCCTCTCACTGAACCCAGAGCTCACCGGCTCCCGGTCCAGCAAGCCAGCTTGCCCAGGGAATCCCTGCCGTGCCTCTGCTGGGTTATCAGAGGATGATGCCAAATGGCAAAGCCACCAGCTTTGTGCCCACTGAGCCACCTCTCCAGGGCTTGCTATGCTCTCCAGGTTGGTCTCAAATGACAATCCTCCTTCCTCAGCTTCCCAAGTGTTGGGGTGACAGGCGGACGGGAGGGCGCCCCCTTACCTGCCATGACTCTACCTTTTCATTTATGTATGAGGTGCAGGTTTTTGTTGTTGTCATTGTTTTGTTTTGTTTTGTTTTTAAGGCAAATACGTTGCACAGATCTGATAAACAGCCTTGAGGCCAGAACCCTGGGCTCGTGGCCCCCTCCCTGGAAATCCCCTCTCATGCTTCCCTCCATGCTGGCTCAGCATGCCCACTCTCCCCTCCAGATGTTCTGACACAAGTTCTTCTTTCCCCAGAGGAGAGTCACAGGATTCAAGAATTCCTCAACTCTCTATCTCTCCTCTGACTCTCTCCCTCCCAGTGGGCCCTGATCCAATCCTGCCTTCCTGGTTACCTCCCAGCACTAAATGCTGCAGTCCCAGTCTGGTGACTTCCCAGATCAGGATGGGGCCCAGACCCTTCCCACAGTCCCAGCCAGAGCAGGAGCAGGAATGACTGTTAACCATCAAGTGGAGAATTGATCTTTCTCCCCCACCTCAGCCACGGGGCGGCTCCTTTGTGCTCAGACCTGCCAGTCACCCACCTCCACCTTACAGGGTAAACAAGTCCACAAAGACAAACCAGATCCCGTAGCCAGAAAGAAGTCTCCACTGGCAAATCACAAAACCCTCCTATTTCAGGCTATAGCGAAACAGTGGGGCCAGAGAAAAGGCTGGGGGTGGGGTGGGGGACACTTGCTGGCCACCTCCACCCCGGGGACATTTCATAGTGGAAGGAGAGAAGGGACACCACACGCTGTCCTCTGACCTCCACACACGCAGGAGTATATGCAATCATAAATAAGATGCAATTTTAAAAAATGCGTTAAATAGAACAAAACCAAGGAACTGAGTGCCCGGGCCAGGGCAGAGGCAGAAGCAGAGGAAGGAAAGGGGGACACTTGGAGATCCAGTTTCAAAAGTTGGGCCCCAGTTTTGGAGGCAAGCTAATGCACCTCCCCTCCCCCCTCCTCCCTTCTCTCTCCCCCCCCCCCCCCCTCCCATTCTGCCTTCCACAGAAAGGATGTCGCAATCCTAGCTAAAAAACAAGCCAGGTTTGTTCTAACTCCCAGCCTCCCCTGTGCCCCCAGAGGCCAGGAAAACTGAGTGGTTTACAGGAAATCATGGCAAACTGTCCCCTTAACCCCTTCGGGTCACAAATACCTGTCCTTGGATTGGGCATCACCACCTTGGTTCACAGTGTTCCCTCACAGTCATTCACAGCCCAGTCTCAGAGGACAGGGTGGTGGTGGTGGTGGTGGTGGGCGCCAGGGAGAGGCAGATAGGTAACTGCAGATAGATCCCAGTTACTCTCCAAGATTCTCAAAAGGTTCCCAGGCAAGTGGATGTGACCACCGATCCCCTCTGCATTCCAGAACCGAGGCTCCAGAGACCAAGGCACAGGTTTGCAGGTTGTGGGGCCAGCTTGGGCTAAGGAAACAGAAATATTGGGGTTCAAGTGGGTATGGTCACAGGTCACCTCAGCACTCCAGAGCTGGAGGCTCCGTGAATGCACTGCTCGCCTAGAATACATGACTGCTGGGTTCCACCCAAGAACCACATAAAGCAGGCCTGGTGACAACCTCTGTCACCCCAGCACTCAGGAGGTGAGGCGTAGGAGCAGGAGTTGAAGGTCATCTTTCTCTACCTGGAGACTTGGAAGCCAGCCCAGGCTACAGAAGACACTATCATAAAACAGAAAAACAACAACAACAAAAAAAACCCAGCTAGATTTGGAGGCCACCCCTTTAATCCCACCCAGCACTTTGCAGGCAAAGACAGGAGGACCTCTGAGTTCTTAGCCAGCCCATACTACCTAGGACCCTCTCTCAAAAGATCTGAAATGCAGCAAGCATGGCCCAGTAGCCAGGCAGAAAGGGAAACTGGCAATTCATTTCCTGGAATTGACAACCCAGCCAGCAGGTGTCCAAATCTACAAAACCCTCAAAGAGAATGAGCTGGCAAGTTGTAGCAAGATGAGATTACCTACAGCAAACCCGGGAGACACCTGCTGTGTGGACAGTGTGCTTTGCAGGAAGACATTGAGACCCAGGCTCACCCCTGGCTGGTGAGTGGCAGGTCAGAGAGGAAGTGGCAGCCAGGGAGCCGGGCCTCTGAGGGGCTGGTGACCATGGCAGTCAATCATCAGTATAGATGGATTGTTTTCACAGGAGGGCAGGGAGGAGGAGAAAGTCCTGTGAGCACTGACCTGGAATAATCTTTAATGCAAACCTTTCCCACACAGAAAGCAACACCCCACCCACTCAGAGAAGCAGGGAGAAGAACACAGGTGCTAAGGGTGACTGTGCCGCCGAGCCGTGGGGCTGCAAGACGACGTGCTGGTTCCCATCGGCACTGGCTGTCCATCCTAAGGATCCATGTTTGAATCTCAGCACCCACATTCGGTTCACCCAAACATCTGCAATTCCAGTTCCAGGGGATCCAACGTCTTCTGGCTGCCATAGGCATCAGGCATGCACATGGTGCACAGACACACATGCAGGCAAAACACTCAGACACACACCTATACACAGAGAAACTCTGTCTCGAAAAATCTAAATAAACAAATAAACAAATACAGACTTTTAAAAAAGGAAGAAAGACACCTAGAGGTGGTGGCACACGACTTTAATCCCAGCACTTGGGAGGTTTCATTCCTCCACTTAGGAGGCAGAGATAGGCAGATCTCTGTGAGTTCGAGGCCAGCCTGGCTCACAGAGTAAATTCCAGGACAGCCAGTGCTACTTAGTGAAACCATGTCTCAAAAACAAAAAACAAAAAGAAAAGAAATGGTGTCATGTATCCCAGACAGGCCTCTAATTTGCTGAGGCTGACCTTGAACTCCTGATGCCCAGCCTCCACTGCCTAGTCCTGGGATGACAGGTCGATGCCACCAGAATTGAGTTCTGTGCTACCTAGGAAGAAACCCAGCCCTTCATGTGTGCTGGGCAAGCTCTTTTCCCCAGCAGACCTCCTGGAGAGTGAACTCCCAGGCAGCCTTCACAGCCAAGCTGAACTGGCCTCACCTCCTAGAACCCCTTCTGGATCCTCTAAGAAACAGAATTCTTTCCCACTGCAGAAAACGCTCCACAGAGCTGGGACTGTGTGGGCGGAGCTGCCCACACCCCTGATCCTCCTCATAGGAAAGGTTTTGTCTATAAATGCATAAGTAGAGCTTAGTGATGCCCAGGAACTGGGGAGGTGGAGGCAGGAGGATTGCTTGAAGGCAGGAGTTCAAGATTTTAGCACAATGGGTCTTAACCTTCCTGATGCTGTGACCCTTTAATACAGCTCCTCATGTTGTGGTGACCCCCCCCCCCCCCCCGCCAACACACACACCATAGAATTATTTTCATTGCTACTTCATAGCTGTAATTTTGCTGCTGCTATGAATCATAATGTAAATATCGGATATGCAACCCTCAAGGGGGTCGCGACCCACAAGTTGATAACTGCTGGTTTGGCAAGACCTGTGGGTGGGAGAGAGAGAACCAGACAGACAGACAGACATGCTCTGGTGCTGTGACCCAGCTAAGTGTGGAAGGAGTCACTCTAGACTTCAGTTGTTTCAACTGTAACCAAGGACAGCAGGGACAGCATTTGGTCTGGACCCAAAGAGAAGCCCCAGCCAGATGGTGCTTCAGAGCTCTAGGGAAATGTGCTTCGGGTTACTCACCCCAAGACATGTTGGCCCCAGGCTTAGGAAAAGCTTAGGAAACTTGTTGCAAAATCTGGGGCAGTCCCTGGGTGCAGGAACTGGGAGGGCCCAGAGGAGGAGGCCCATATAAGAGGCAGGTGCCCCAGCCTGGCTCACTCCTGCCCACCCCTGCCCCTCACCCCCTCACCCCCTCCACTCTTCTCCTTCGCTATGGCACCAGCTTCAGGGCCCCAGCTGCTGCTGCTGCTGCTGCTGGCCGGCTCTCCCCTGGCTCTGGGGAGCCCCTTGTAAGTAGTTACCTTCTTACACGCAGTGGAGGAAGGGGTTCTTACATGCAAGGGTGCAGTTTCTTGTAGAACTTGTGAGGTATCTGGGTGATTGCGGCTTTGTGGGGGGAGGGTAAGAGATAGGGGTGTTAAGAATTTGCGCTGGGGGCTGGAAGACCACTCAGTGGGTAAGAACCCTTGCTGTATGAACATGACCTTGTCCAAACTCCCAGCACCAACGGAAAGGCCAGGAGTGGCCTCAGTGCCTGAAAACCCACACAGTGAGGCCGGAGACAGGATAGCTGGGGGGGTTGCTGGCTGCCAGCCCAGCGCCAGGTTCAGAGAGAGGACCTTGGCTTGACAGAATAAGGTGTGTGGGTGAGAGATCAGAATACCTGATATCCTCCTCTGGCCTACACACACACACACACACACACACACACACACACACACACACA